AAGAACCAGCTGAGGCTCGTGAGCGTCTTCGCGGCTGCTAGTCTTCTCACGCGTCTGACGCTTTGGACTCTGCTCTGATCCTCCTCAACTGACGGGGGTTTCTGAAAGGTTTACTGTTGGTAGTACGGGTTCGGAAAACATGTTGTTCTCTTACTTGTCGCACCGTCGTGCTTGGTGAGCCTTTTATCAGCATTGTCGGTTTCCTTAACGCACTCTGACAAGGACCGTAATCATACTAGTCGCGATAAGCAACAAGAGCGAGCAGAACGAATCGCATCCCTCAAACCCATATACCATGAGCCTCTAACATCCCAAGACAAAGAGATTCTGTCTCGCTCAGTTTCGTCTCTAGTAGCTTCTGTGCAAACCTCATCCCTGTCTCCATCCGACATCCTCGTGGCCTACTCTAAGAAAGCCCTTCAAGCGCATGCTCAGACAAACTGTTTGACTGAGGTCATGATTGCATCTGCGGAGAATTGGGCTAAAACTGCGAACCGATCAGGTCCGCTGGCAGGCGTCCCAGTCTCACTCAAGGACCTGGTAAGCGTGAAGGGTTGGGATTCCTCCATGGGCTACTCGGCTCTTGTTGGCAAACCCATGGCCGCCGACGGCGCGTTGGTGAGGTTGCTGCGGGATGCAGGTGCCGTTCCATACGTCAAGACGAACGTTCCCATGACTATGCTCTCATTGGAGTCGACAAACGATGTTTTTGGTTCTACCGATAATCCCCACAAGAAGGGCTACACCTCAGGAGGCTCATCAGCAGGTGAAGCCGTACTCCTTGCGCTCGGTGCAGCCAGACTCGCGATAGGCACAGATGTTGCGGGGAGCGTTCGGGCTCCTGCGCACTTCTCTGGTGTCTATTCGATCAAATCGAGTATGTATAGATTCTTGAAGCAAGGCAGCGCGTCCAGTATGCCTGGCCAGGAAGGCGTTCCCGCAACACATAGCCCTATGACCAGAACGTTGGAAGATCTAGAGACTTTCTGGCGTGCTGTGTTCCAGATGAAGCCTTGGAACTATGACTACTCAGTAACTGAAGTTTCCGAATACTAGTGCTGTGAAGTTACTTAATGATGATATAGGTTCTTAGAATTCCTTGGAGAGATGTCAAGCTTCCAGAAGATCATCCCATCAGGTGGGGTGTCCTGTGGGATGACGGTAAGTGGAGCATCTCTATGGAGTTAAACCTCAGCATATTCATGTTTGCACAAAGGGGTTGTGAAACCCTCACCTGCCTGCGCGCGAGCATTGAAAACAGTTACTGCGATACTCGAGAAGAACGGCCATGAAGTTGTCACTCTGTAGGTCAAAATTCTTCTTTTCTGAAAGTGTTTCCTATCCCCACTTCAGGAAGTGCCCGAGCCCATACGAAGGCCTTCAGATCGCGTCACAGCTCCTCCTCGCTGATGGCGGCAAGACGGCTTCCAAAAACCATCGCGTATTCGAGTCCAATGATGCTGGAATGACTTCAGCGTTCCGGGGCTTTCGTCTCCCCTACTTCGTCATGAAACTGTATGCTTGGTATTACCGCTACATACGCCGCGATCCTATCTATGCAGGTCTGATCGACACCCATTATGAGAAGACCATGCCAGAATTCTATGCTTTAATTGCGCGAAGGGAGGACTATCGTTCTCGCTGGTTCAAAGTGTGGCGAGACGCGGAGGTCGAAGGCCGTCAGGGCGATGAGGGAGTTGACTTCATTCTTACAGTGCCAAATAGTCTTCCTGCTGTTCCTCACGGAGGGATGAGGCACGGATGGAAAGCGTGTGGGTACACGTTCCTATTCAATCTGGTATGTTCCACTTCTCTGTAACAGCTCCGATCTGAAATTCACTTCGAATTTTTGAAAGCTTGATTATAGCGCGGGGGTTATGCCAATCACGCATGTGGATGCGACAGCTGATGCTCTCCCGCGTACTTTCCGTCCACGAAACGCCATCGAACGAAACTACTACCGGATGTATGATGCAAGTGCCATGGAAGGTCTCCCCGTTGGCGTGCAGATTGTAGGAAGACGGCTTGAAGAGGAGCGCGTCCTGGAGGGCATGAAACTGATCGAACGTCTGTTGAGGGAGGCAGGAACTGGTTATGTCGGTTTGCCGTTGTAGAAATGTGTTTGTTTTGCCAATCCTGACATGTATATCATTCATCTGTATTTCGGAGTTTTCGGAAAGAGTGACGATAAAAGGCAGACAGGAAGAGATGGGGAGCATCAGCACATTTGATTTAAATCCGGGCCCCGGGGGCCGAAGTTCCGGATGGTTCGCCCCGAAGAGATCACTTCCCAGATTCTACAAAGGCACAGATTTTCAATCGGTAGACATCTTTCTTTTTACGCGGCACGGTCGTTAAGCCATAATCTGAAAGTCCTTCAACAGGTCTGGCAGACAGCTGGAGCCATACGTCAACCATATCCGCAAGATTTCAAATGACAGCTTACCGGATCCACTGCGATGCTACCGGAAGCTGAACTCTTTCAGGAACATTTATGGATATCATATCCAGTTGCCAAGTGCTAGAACCCGATATCTTCTGGAATCGCAAAGCTGATTTGCAGCCAATTTGTTGAATGATCAATGTGGTGGATCGTGATATGCAAACGCTATCGTGATATCTGACTAGGGCGGTGGAATCACCTATATGATCGATTCCTCCACCAGTGACGAGATCATAGTATCTTGTTATCGATTAAGGAGGCCAAAACCCCGAGGACCGCTACCATGACAGTTGCGCTTCGGCAATGTTTAAGACGAAGCAACCACGGGAATCTAGGCTAGCGTCATCGGGGAGGCATCATCACCGTCACGGTGATCTGAATCTGGGGTGGGGGAAGGAATGCAACGGAGTCCGTGATCGCATACCTGCCAAGGTCTAAGGTACCTTGTGCCATTCATTTATCGGGTCAACTTAAATAGTAGACCATCATGATAGTGAACATTACGGGCCTAGTCTGGCGGTTTGGCTCAGACTATGATCATATATGGCGCTAGCAGCCGCAGTGCATGGGCGGCCGCAGTGCATGATGCTGTCGTTGTGGAGATCAAGAATTAAACCGCCCCACGCTGACTCCTGAGGTTATGATCATGATCACCTAGGAAACCGGATTGCCTTGGCGGTTTTCATCCGAACGTACTGCGCTGTTCAGCCTGTTCAGACTTATCATGCGCCCCCGTATTCATCAAGATCAAATCCGATAAGAATTTGATTTATCTTATCGTATCCGTACGCAGTACACCAAGCAGGAAACCTGATTCTACAAACTCGATCTTTTCTATATCAGCCAGAAATATACATATGCTGCACAAAGTACAATTAAAACTTTCACTTGAGGGCTCGTGTTCGACCATGTGGCGGTTAAGCTGTTTGATACGTTGTAAGTAGGCGCGAATGATGAAGATCCACCTTTACCCGAAAGGGTTCGGCCTTGTCCAGAGAACGCACCAGAAGATGCGGGTTGGGCATACTGGGTGACAGTTGATTTGAGGGCACTAGAATATGTGTTAAAGTGCATTCACAAGAATGACAATTCGTGAACGAACGGTGGGTTAGCGCACGAATCCTGTGCTTTTTCCTCCGTGCCTACCAAGAAAATGAAGGTCGGCCTGTGAAATATGAGGACAGAAGAAACATTCCAAGATGATGAAAACTAACATAGCAGTGACGGAGTACTCAGTGGCGAGCTCGTTCGTTCCCTCCGACAGGTCAACCTTGAGGAAGTTCGCATTGGCGTTCTCCTTGGCGAGGCCCTCAAAGAGCGGCTTGATGGTCTGGCAAGGGGCGCACCAACTTGCAGTGAAATCTATGACCTACAAGCAAACGAGTCACTTGAGTTCGAACAACTGAGGGACACAGATATTTACGGTGAGCTTCTTGGGATCGCTGGTGAATTTCGCGAGCTCTTCCTTCGTGGTGATTTCAGCAACCATTATGAGACTAGATGAAGTATGTGATGTGAGAGATTGAAGAACGCTGCTCCGTGGGCGATGGGCTTTATACGTGGCTGCCGGCGCTGTCGAAGTATAAGTAAGCTGCTGGCAGTTGCATGACGTGCTTGGAAAGCAAGATATAAGCCAGTCACGTGAGGTCCACAGCTTTGAAGGACACGCACAGCTTTGATCATCGACACTGACTGCATTTACACCTTCTTTCACTACTACCATCATCTACTTCCAGCGTATTCAATCTGCCCCTTTGTACAATTTTCTGACACTCGTAACCTAGTCCATAATACAACATTGTCTGGACGCGGAAAGGGCGGCAAGGTGCAGAAAATATTGGTTGGTGTCACCTTATGGCTCGCGCAGCTCAGAGTGCAATAGGGTCTCGGAAAAGGTCGGTGCCAAACGTCACCGAATGATTCTTCGCAACAACATCCAGGGTATTACGAAGCCAGTGCGTAGTATGGCGTTCTATAATCATTCGCATGCTCATATTTTTCAGGCTATTCGCCGTCTTGCCCGTCGTGGTGGTGTGAAGCGTATCTCAGGTCTCAACTACGAGGAAACCCGCGGTGTCCTCAAAATTTTCTTGGAGAACGTCCTTCATGACTCCGTCACTTACACCGAACATGCTAAGCGGTGAGCCCCAGCATCAGCCTAATTCAGTGCTTGTTTTCTCATAGGAATTATAGCAAAACAGTTACTGCTCTTGATGTTGTCTATGCGCTGAAGCGGTCGGGGCGCACGTTATACGGTTTCGGTGCATGAACAAAGTATTATTATCAATTGCCACCCATATGTACCAATATTTAGTGACTTGGATAAAGCTAGATATAAGCCAGTCACGTGAGGTCCACAAAACATGAAGACACAACTTTGATCATTCACTGCGGAAACGAGAAAATGACCAGACCAGGTTTGTCTGACGGACCTCAACCTGTACAATAGATATCACATCTAACTAGAGTATGGTTAGGGTCCCAAAATCGCGTCAATCCATAAGTTTTTTGGACTTGGGCAGATGTACTCGCTCGTATCCAGTTCGGGTATAGTTATTTCTTCTATCTGTGCTCTATCTAGAATCTAGATACGGCCATTTTCTCGTTTCCGCAGTAATTGGCATTGACTGCATTTACACCTTCTTTCACTACTACCATCATCTACTCCAGCGTATTCAATCTACCCCTTTGTACGATTTTCCAACACTCGTAACCTAGTTCATAATATAACATGTCTGGACGCGGAAAGGGCGGAAAGGTGTGGAAAATATTGGTTGGTGTCACCTTATGGCTCGCGCAACTCAGAGTGCAATAGGGTCTCGGAAAGAGCGGTGCCAGACGTCACCGAATGAGGCCTCGCGACACCATCCAGGGTATTACAAGGCCAGTGCGTAGTATGGCGTTCTATAATCATTCGCATGCTCATATTTTTCAGGCTATTCGCCGGTCTTGCCCGTCGTGGTGGTGTGAAGCGTATTTCAGGTCTCAACTACGAGGAAACCCGCGGTGTCCTCAAAATTTTCTTGGAGAACGTCCTTCATGACTCCGTCACTTACACCGAACATGCTAAGCGGTAAGGCCCAGCATCAGCCTAATTCAGTGCTTGTTTGCTCATAGGAATTATAGCAAAACAGTTACTGCTCTTGATGTTGTCTATGCGCTGAAGCGGTCGGGGCGCACGTTATACGGTTTCGGTGCATGAACAAAGTATTATTATCACCTGCCACCCATACTTTGTACCAATAGTGACTTGAATATTTCTTTCAATCTGATCAGTCCGGCCGTTTACCGTGTCCCTTTGGAGATCCTTTAATTTCGGGCGAGCTCGAGGTGTGTGGTTGTGCCCGGTTGCTGTATACTCAACGATAGCGACTGGTAAGACATGACATCTTAATATATACTGCATCCAGCAGATGCAGATGAGGCTCCGTTGTCGAGCGGCCTAGAGTATACTAGACTCGACGATGACCAGTCTGACGTACGTCTTTTGAGAGGCGGGGAATTTTGACGTCGTCAGGTTATATATTAAATAGCCAGGCTGGTCTTCGACGGCCTAAGAGCACACTGCGTTTGTCTGATGAATTCACAGTTTAATTCCCGATCCGAAGCATCAAACAGGCGCGTACTACTAACTAGTACTTATAATGCCCCGCATTGTTTGTCGAGCTCCACAAGTAAACAGAAGCGGCGAGGGGAACAAGATGAAATCCGGTCTATCGATATGAATAAATGGAAGACTACTACGTATGCGTAGTGGTTAATATCACGATGAATCACTACTACGTTATCGCATATCCACATACCACGGACCACGATGGAGTGCATTATTTGACCCATTGATATTATTGCAACGCCAATCCAGCGGTCCCTACATTAGAAACTTGCAGGCTGCTGAGGCTGAAACATGTGCATGATCTCCACCCCGAGCAAACGAGAAATAAACATTAAATATTAAACTGCGATTCGCGATCTAAACAGTACTAGTGTTATCAGGTGTTATCTCGTCGATCATTACATGACCATTGACAACACAATGACATCATGGATCAACAGCTTGCGTTATGCATGAATATATGAATGAGCAAATTTTAAAGATAGTTTTCAAAACGCCAGAGCTTGCGCCCGTCCCTCGAGATCCGGAAACTCCAGGCTAGAAGTTTTCGGCGATTAATCACACTTGTAGACGTGATGAGCATCTGCCAATCACAGTGATGCGGAAGTATAGAGGAAACTTATCATACGGTCATGACGACGCCAGCATCTATTTGAGTCGTTCGAGAGGCAGTTTCAGCAGAGCAAGTGCATTCCTAGGTATCCAGACAGTAGCCTGCGATCACAAAAGTGCTACTATGATCAGACACTTATATTCAGTCAATCAATCAGTTCGTACCTTCGAAAATTCTCGTCGACACGCAGTGACATCAAAACAGTAAGAAATGGGGAAAAACAGAACAATGCTACGAAAACACAGCTAAGCAGATGATCGAACCTCATGAATTCTCCTCCACTAACTCCACCTCCACCTCCGCCTCCTCATCCATATCATGTACCTCATCCGTGATATCACTCTCGCTCTCTGGGGGTATTGGCTCTGACGGCGGGGGTTCGCTCAGGTTAAGGCTAACCTCGGGCTCCGTGGGGGAGTCCTCGACGGAGACAGATTCAGGAGATGATGGCACGGGAGGTTCCACGAAGTGGGCGACTACTGCATCTGCCTCAGGAGAAGGGTCGAGGGGTGTTCAAGTAATTTTCAGATTCTGGAACTGGCTCCGGTGAATCAGATTTTTCAGCAGCTACAGGCTCCTCCACAACATCAGGTTCTGTAACACCGGGCTCAACATTTTCGGTAGCTGCAGAGGCTACTGGGCTTGAAGGCTCGGCCGGGGCAGCGGTTTTTCGTGAGGAACTATAGGCTCGACAGCTGGCTGTTCCTGAATGGTCTCAATTGTTTCAACAATTGGAATCGTCTCTATCTCGTGTTCCAGTACAGGCGGCTCAGCAGGGGCAGCTGAGCTGGTGTCCCCAAGCAACGCCAAGGATAGATCTTCCAGAGGTGGAGAGTTTGATCCGGTGACGGTTGCCACTTCGTCGACGAGCACTTCTTCGACGGGGACCTCTTCGACGTCAAACCCAAATTTGTCGGGAGGGAACTCACTCGGCTGGCTGGACCACGAGGCTTGCGAATAGCTCTCAGGCTCAGCAGATAGCGCAGTATGCAATAAAGCATCGCTTTCGGTGACACCATGGTCGCCGCCTTTTGCAAGCTCCTCTGCAACATTGTACCCCTCACTGAACACCATAGTGTCTGTGCGATTGCGTCCCAGCCGGCGTGGACTGTCGGTGCCAATCGGGCTGTCACTGGACAGTCCCGGAGGACTCTTCTCGCGAACATTCGGAGGTTGTGCTTGTTCTGCTGTAGGTGCATTTGATCTTCCCGCTCACGCGGTGGATTGACGGCCGCTGCAAGAAGACGTGGAGGTTCGACATCCTCATCGCGTCCCTTTCTGCCCGATAGGACAGCACCTGAGGGGATGACAAGGAACTCGGTAGGGACGAGATCGAATTGACTAGTAAGTTTTAAGAAGCGGGCATAGAGCGATGATTCGGCCTCCGCTTGTTCAAAGGCTTCTCGGTGGTGGAAATACGCATGGGCAAATATTCTACCAAGCCGACGAGCAAGCGAAGAGAAGTGTCGATATGAGGTAGGAGGTATCGAAAGGCTGATTATCGCGAAAAGTACGTATGATTGATTGAGTTCGAGGGGTATATCAAGAAAGATTCATAGGACGTGATCATGACGTACCGAGATGGGAAAGCTCGAGGTGAATTTAATAGTGCGGTTGCGCTATCCAACGTATGAAGGATGTAATCAATAGCACAGCATTGCTGAGGTGACATATACAGAAGCAGTTAGAGGAACCATATTTTTTTTAAATGATATGTCAAACGAACCTCCATAGCACCGTCATTACCGTGTGCGACGCACAAATATAACCACTCTCCCGCCTTCATCTCGGGACAGGTGTTACGAGTACATTCCTGCTGCAACATTGTGATGAGGGGATGAGATAGGTCTTGTGCGAGACGTCTGATGGCCGAACACAGTTAACGCATAATAACTGGGTGATAAGCATGAGAGGTACCGTAGTTGTTCGTAAATCCAGCAACCTCGGTCGACTGTTACGTCGCTCTTGCGTTCAGGATATCTGGTTTACGCTCAGAAAGATCAGGAAGATCAGAAGACTTTCTTCGGCGTCCTTGAAAGCAGCTTTCCCCGGAAGAGACACTATTGAGTTCACATCATGGACGTCAAGACGAATAAGAAGCGAAATGTATTCTTGGAGTTGGAATGCGCTATCGAGAGAGGACAAGGACGGGAGAGTTTTGACAGGATAAAAGGAGGACACGCGTGAGCCGCGTAACGGGCGCAGTACGGCTACCGCCATGGTCAGTGACAGTGAGCTCGAGGTTATTGTCGCCGTCGAGAGCGTTGAGCGCGAATAAGCAAACG